TAAACAGTCATCCATATCCACAAGGCACCTGTACAACCACGCCAAATTCAGACATATGTCTCAGGGCTCCACAGGTTTCCTAAGAAATTATAATCACAGATGTAGTTAAATTCTCAGAGATTTTTCAACCTTTAGGATGACTGGAGCAAAGCCCTTGAAAGATAACTTTGATGTGCTCTGCCTGGCTCTGTCCCTGATTCACTCACTGGGGAGCTGCTGGAGGTAGGAAAATTGGGGGGCCCCCAGGGCTGCTCACTCACTTCCCTGCCCTCCTCCATGGATGCCTCACACAGCCCTTGGTTGAGAACCTCTGGTGGAGAGAAGAGGGATTCAAGAGATTGCACTCCTCCAAGTATGTGACCACAGGGGGCGTGGGGAGCGGGGACCATGAAAAATAGATGCCTCCTGTTAGCTTCTATGTGCACAGACTATCTCTGGGGAAAATACCTAAGAAACCAACCATGTTGGTTGTTTCCCAGGAAAGGACCCGCATGGCCAGAACAGGGGAGTAAGAAGGACTTCCCTGATATATGCCCTTTAGTATCTTTTGAATTTTGTATGGATAGCCTGGAAATATAAATAAATCAAATCTGAGTTTTCAAAGAAACAGTTCTGTTCTCTCTCTGCTTCCTGGCTGTCTTAAACCATGCAGCCTATCTTTTCTCCACTGTACCCTTCTGCCATGATGTTCTGTCTTACCTCAGGCCCAACACCATGGAGCCAGCTGATCCTGAACTGAACCCCTGAAACCCACAAACATCCTCAGAACCAAGCTATCAAGTGATGGAAATGCCAAGACACACTGAGAGACCAACTGAGCTCCCAGTCAAAACAAAGTGAACTCTCAGCAATGGGAGTGGGAAAATATCTTGGATGTTCAGCCATGTCAACCTTGGAAATCTTGTTCCAGTTTTCAACTGACAGGGTTATGAAAGGCTCCAATCAAGAAGCGTCCGTTGGGCTGGGTTGTGGCTCAGCGGCAGAGCACTTGTCTACCACATGTGAGGCCCTGGGTTCCATCCTCAGCACCACATGAAAATAAATAAATAATATAAAAAGTATGGTGTCCAACTGCAACTAAAAATAAATACTTAAGGAAAAAAAAATATCCATTGGGGCTAGGGTTGTGTCTCAGTGATAGAGTGCTTGCCCACCATGTGTGAGGCACTGGGTTCAATTCTCAGCACCACATAAAATAAATAAATTAATTAATTAATTAAATAAAGGTATCGAGGACATCTACAACTAAAAAAATATTTTAAAAAAGAAGCATCCATCTAAACCTAGGCAATTCAAGAAACCCAATAGAAAATAATATATATATTTTTTGTTTTTGCTTTAAGCAATTATATTTTGTAGTATCTTATACAGCAATAAACAACTGATCAGGTTTTTATGCACAGTTACCCACCCATCACAGCTAATGTAATGCTTTATATCAGCTAGACTTGTGTGGCCCATCTCTGTCAACTGTTTAAAATTTGTCACCCAAGATTCTACTCTAGCATGAACTATAATCATTATTTTTCTCAAGTATTTTGGATTTCTCAACTGCAAACATCTCAAACTTAAATCATTTACCCTGCTCATCATAAAAGAATAAATAAGTAAAATGAGCTGGGGCCGTAGCTTAGCAGTAGAGCACCTGCCTAACATGTTAGGCCCTGGGTTCCTTCCTCAGCACTGCATAAAAATAAATGAATAAAATAAAAGTATTGTGTCTCACGACAACTAGAAATATTTTTTTAAATAAATAACAGACACAGTCCTTGGGGAAAAGCCATTAATTTGAGCATTGCAAGTTGAGAAAGTGAGAGATCAGAGAAAGATGTGGTCACAAGAGGAACAGAAAGGTGAGGGCAGTTATGAAGCTCAGGAAAAGGAGGCTGAACGAGACAACATTTCTCCACCACTTTGCAGGGGAACAAAGTTCCTGTTCTTGCACTCTTCTCCTTTGGACCTATCTATAGAGAACATAAAAGTAATCACTGGGTTCTGTCCCATGATAAATAATCTCTTAAAAAACCACTAACTTCCCATCATTTCCAAACAAGCTGTTCAGACATCGTTTCCACAGTTGACTTAGTTAATAACCTGTGAGCTCCTCTACCTGCGCCTCCTTCCTCTCCTCCAGGTAGACTGCACAGAAAACCAGCCCCAGATGTTGAGCCAAACAGATCCCTGGAGATGTGGTAAGTAGCAGTCTTCATTATAAATTGCTTTGTGCATGTGTCGGGGTGGTCATGGCTTGGCCAAAGGCCTGGCTGGCTACATATGAGAATTGACAAAAGTATGTTTATAAATTCATACTCTGAACCATGAGGCTCTCTATTTGGGGACCTCCTTGGGATGCCCTGGGGACACTAGAGGTGGGGCCCAAGACCCTTGTCTCTCCTGGTATGAGTGAACCCCTCAGAGCCCCTCTTTCTTTTTTTTTTTAGTATTTATTTTCTAGGTTTAAGTGGACACAATATCTTTATTTTACATTTATTTGGTGCTGAGGATCGAACCCAGTGCCTCATGCACGCTAGACGAGCGAGATCTACCACTGAGCCACAACCCCAGCGCCCCCCCGCCCCGCCCCCACCCCCCGCCTTTCTTTTTCCAGATCTGGAAGCCGCAGTCACAAGCCCTCAAAGGTGATCACACTCCACATGTACCAGCCACACTCTGATTTTGATGGTTCTCTGTTCCTTCTTGAATAGTACCATCCCAGGGCCAAGTGCCAGGTTTTGGGCTCAGTACTTGTGCTTTAACTTACTCAATCCTCCCAATAGCCCTCAAGTTAGGTATTTTGTTACAGCCATTAATCCCATTTTATCACATAAGAAGGTGAGGCTTAGAGAAACTCAAGAACAAGAGGTGACACAGCTGGTAAGTAGCGAAGGCCAGATGTACACCCCAGGTGGTCCAAGATCAAGGCCCACTGTTATTCTGGGCTCCATGTTGTCTCCCCAGAGAAGCAGCCCTCCCCAGGCTCCCCAGATGGGGGTGTCCACCCTTGTTGGGCTAAAGGGATTGAGGCCTGGTTCTACACAGGAACTCAGGCCACACAGGCTTTGGGGAACAACTGGAGTCAGGGTAAAAGTAACCACTGCTCTCCTAGCATTCATCTTCCTTGCCTAACGCAGGATCTTGGTCTCAGGAAAGCTCCTTCACACCTGGGGAGGCCTGGTCTCCACGGCAGTGTTCCCAGCTCCTCCCTCTGAATGCCTGTGGAGCCCCTGGAGGGTAGAACCTCCCTGAGACTCCAAGATCAGTGCCACAAAGAGACCTCCCAACACCCTGCAGGCTGTCTATGTGGCCCCTGGAATCTTTGCAGTGTGGTTCTGCTCTCTCAGTGGATTCTGAGTAACTGATTTTTTTTTTATTCTATTTTGTGGCAGAGTCATCTATTATGCAAGGGGGACATAATGTTACTACTCAAGAAAAAAACTAAGCGACAATTTTAATCACCACAGTTCCACCACATTAATGTTACCTTTTAATTTCTATGATTTACCTTCGGTGCATATTTTTTTTTTCATGCAGTACTTTAAAGCTTTTATGGTTCTGTAAACGAAGATGACAAGAGAAAGCTTCTCCAACTCTGTCCACAGAAAGAGCTTCTTCAAAGCATACCAATATTTATTTGGGAATAGCTGATCATTGCAATGGGAACACGTGTGTCATAGTAAACTACGTGCTTACTCAAGCAAGTTGAGGCAAGGAGAAGTTTTTAAAGGCAAAACTGCAGAGGATTACATAAAATATTTTAAAATAAGAAAACTTGCAAGAACCAATAACAAGGATGGTGTCAAAGACTAAGTGACAGTTGCTGGGCAGATCTGTCCTTGCAGAAGTATTTTTTGTGTAAGGCTGTGGTTCTGGCAGGTTTTTTTTGTTTGTTTGTTTTGTTTTGTTTTTATTTATTTATTTATTTTTTGGTGTGTGTGTGAATTTGTGGTTCTGGCAGTTTTTTTTGTTTTGTTTTGTTTTTATTTATTTATTTTTTGGTGTGTG